CTGATGGACGACCACGGGAATCGATGCAATGGGATGAAACACGTTGTTGCTGCCGCGTAGGTCGCGAAACATCGCTTCGGTTTGTAGAAGCAGCTCAGTAGAGTCGGATAGATCTGTCATTCCTGAATCACTACCCTTGGGATTTTCGTGAAGTGAACATACCTCAAAGAGACGTCTTTAAGGGATCTTCAGTCCTCTATCAGCCAAGGCTACCAACTCGTCGGCTGCAATAAAATCAGGTCCCATCAACATGGTTTGCACCGGCTGTGGAGGTTTCGGGAGACGTAGTTCAAACAGGAGACCATCGTGGAACGTTCGCTGGTCAATGAATTCCGGCTTGCAAGCGAGCACCTGGGTAGCTGGGTCGGTCCCCAGCTCAATGTTACGCAGTGAGCCATCTGAGCGTTGGTGATCTGTGACAAACCTTTTCTTCGGAATAGCTTCCTTTACCTGAGTATAATAATCACCTACTCCAGATTTAGACACCTGAGTCCTCGAAAAGTTTTGGTCAACCGCCTTCAGGTGAGTGCTAGGCCTAGGTCGTTCTTCTGCAGAGAGGAAGCGAGGCTCTACCCAGAAACATCTGACAAGGCAGTACAAGGCTGATGATGGTTTGGTAAAAGCATCTACGGCTGAATTGTCCAGGGCTTTGTCCGGGAGTTATGAAAGCCTGGTTTCCAAGAAATGTATATTTGTCTCAGTTTCCCGGGATTCTACGTCCTAAGGGCCTAAAACGCCAATATATGATTCCGCCTCCAGCGTTTCTAGGTCTACGATTTTGAAGCCACATACAGGACTTACATCATGTTTTAGATGCATGACTTTGCATTCTTCAGGATTAAACGCGTCCCCTTTTATTGACCAAGCAGCTCTGAAGTTAAGTTTTTTCTTTCGAAGGCACCATCTAACTTCTGCCTTTAGGTCTCCTTGATGATGCTGCATACTTCAATGTGAAATCTACAAAGCTTTGCATATTTGTAAAACCCACCACTATTGAACGACGGTCCTTCCAGCCTTTATTCACTTGCACTACAACAAATACTTCCAGTATTATCCGTCCGAATTGCTGGGAAAGATGGCGCTCGAAGGGTGAGAAATGCCGGAACTTGGATATTCACCCGCATTAAATGATTACATGCACACTTACTAACTCCTGAAATCATCGAAGTAAGTTATTCTTGGCCAATATGGCTATGAACATAAAAATCACTGTTAAAATGGACTTTTATCTGACGAAACATTAGGTTTTGCAGACAGGCCAATCGTGTCGACCACCGATAACGCAAACGAGGAATATTGCGCAGATTTGATGTCACTGTAGTGTGAAAAAAGAACTGTGAGCAGGAATGATCTAAACTCAGAACAATGTGTATGTGCCGTAGTTGTATTTTCCTACGATTTTCGTAACTTTTGGACCCCTGATATAGTGATAGAATTTAATGTCCTCCCTTCTGTACCACTCAATACTGCTCAAACCTTTTAGGTTTCTCTGCAGTTATCAATTTGTTGATGCCTGTAAGCCGGCTTTTCTCATTCTAACTTCATAACCTGAGAATAAAATATTGATTTTTTATTCACTCTTTCTTGAAGGCACTGTAACGGAAAATTGATCTGAAAATCCCTCCCGATCACCCTTATTTGATTGTATTGACATTTGTTTTAACATTTTTACCCTCGTTATGGATGGTATACCTTTGACCCTAGCCGGTGTAATGTTATTTGCCTGTTTAACTGTCTTGTTTGACTTTACACTCGGTATTTGCCTTTGTATGTTTGAGACTTATTATGAATATTTCACTTTCCTATTATGTGACACTGGACTGTTGACAAGGTGATGTTGTTTTACTGCGCACGACATTTTGTTTTGGTTCAACTTACGGTTGTGCAGTGATTTGACTGTTTGTCTTTTGACTGTCTACTGGGAACGTTTGTTTGTTGATTTGATTCCTGTAGGCAGAGTTTTGATCCCTTTTGCCGGGAATATTCCTATTAACCGACAGGTACTTAACAGCTGTATTTTTTTAACCAGTTTTTACCGTGTAGTACGTATTTGTACCCGAGAACGTTTTGGACTGTAGAGTTACCCAACGGCACTGCTGAGGTATTTTTGTAATTTGACATAACTTATTGTTGCTTTGATAGTACCACGGATTTTGTTACGAATCTACTACTGAAATACTACAAACCGTGTTTTGATATTTTGATCCAACCTTTGACTGTGAGTCACTCGCGGAAGTTAGGAAGCTATACAGTAGAACGCAGGAACTAGTGAGATTCAAGTCAGTTGGCACCGCCTAGTTACTTCCCGCTTTCAGGCCAAGATTATTGGATTCTGGCCGCTACAGGCACTACTTAACTTCTGGTTTCCTTCATAGTTTCAGGTCACTGGTAAAAGGTAGGATTTCAAAAGAGACTTTTTGAGACAAGTCGCTGATGCATATCAGAAAGGGAGGAGGCTCCAGCACTGATCACCGAAGGCACTCCATAAGAACATTCTGTCCCTTCAGACACAGCAATATATGCCCGAACTCCGAGTAAAAGACCAGGTAGATATAAGCACTACGAGCAGATGGGCGATGGTTTAGTCCGCATTATTTTAGCTATCCGCGATGCCGCAGTGGTCGCAACGATGAAACACTCTAGAAAACTCAATATAAATAACACCAGTTCCACCCTGAAGGTCAACAGTGCTAGTCCGTCTATGGGTTGCGGTTAACAGGTTGGTAATGCAAGAGTCCTTTTTTCCAGTTCCATGTCTTTGGGCCGTAAGTAGGTCAGTCGTGATTAGATGGTGCTTTCGGTCGATTGAAGTTCCATCAACACTCTCTGGAAGGTCAGGTTAGTTTGGTTCTGCGGTCTTGCTGGAAACCAGTAAGGAGGATGTCACTCGCGACTCCTGGAGGGGGAGTGCTGGGTTGTCAGCCAAGAGATCTTCATTCGCGAGGATTTAGCCTCAAATGGATGAGTTTCTTACCATCGCGTCACTGTTTTCACATTTTCCACAAGCCCGAGACCCCCAATTACTTTAGAGAATCAGGCTCCGATGGAATCATCACCCTCATTAAACGTATGACCTGCAAAGATTTCGTTCGACAGGTTTATATCTGGAACTACAATATGAGAGAACAGCAGGCCGTCTGTGTCAACTGACTGTCATACTGTATGTCAGGGGATGGCTTCTTGTAAATGATTACCAATGGAGACTTGACAGCCTTCGAAAGCCTTATGGACCACCAAGGAGACTCCCCTAGACACTCCTGTTCGTGAATGCTGATATGGTGTGCTGAAGGTGGAGAGCTAACGTAAGGTGCTCCACCGGCTCCTCTGTTGTTGCGAAAGGGCACAATTTTGAGGATACCCAGCCTTTCGTATGACACTTCAGGGGAAGCCCACGCCTTAATAGGGCTTTTGAGATTTCCTAACTTATTTCCTGCCATTCAACGGGTTTATTCGGCAGTGTGCACTCATGTCGGTGGAATTAATGTCTTCTATGTGGAACGTACTTACCATGACCTCTTTATTGACTGGCTTGTTGGCTAAATCCTTTCATGTGAGTGCCTAGAACCTGCCTTAGTATAGTTCGTCAGTTTTCATGTCTTTTAAACGATTAGGGCGTCCATGCAGTTTACCTAAGGTACAGACAGTTGTCATTCCGTAAAATCCTTTCGCTCTATATTCTGTCACAGGACACGCGAACCCGAGATGGTAATCGATGTTTGTTGACCCGGAATACCCTTAATACAGATGCTACTATTTTGGGTGGCGTAACTGCCAGCTCGATCAACCTTGATCTAAGGGTATCATTTGTTGTATGTGTTACGTCAAATCCGCTGAGCGGCATGTAACGAAGATACGAATTTTCGGAGTTCCTAAAACCCAAAGCGGGAACCGACCAAATCCAAAACAATCGGTGGCCAAAAAGCAAGGGTATATTCAAACAGTAAGTGAATCCAGCGAAAATTGTTCTTTACAACAAAATATATGTACAAAACTTAATTACAAACCTTCAATTTTAACGGCTAATGCAGTTTCTATCCAAAAACGGAATACAACTGCAACACTAATAGAAACAAGCGGTTAAATACAGTTGTACAAGCAAATTGAATGAAGCTAAACGAAATGAGTGGTCAACGTTTTGAATACATTACAAGAATAAATCAAAACACATTCAACAGTAGGCACCCTCAAAACATTCCGTGTAGACATTCCGTTAAGATTGGTGGTAATTTTTTTTTGAACTGCTGCTATTTGCGCACCATCTTCCTGAGGAGGCATACTGAGGGAAAACGAACACAAAATACTACGGAAAGTTTGAAGAAAGGCATATTCTTAGGCTCACCAAATCACACCAAACCCGAGATCGAATTAATGTCTCCGTATCTTGAAAAAACACAAAGAATTACGGTGGGCCTTCCGAATTTGGGGTTCCAGAAGAATGCTATTTTTGGAAACCAGAGCGTTCTTTGTATTTTTGGATAGCAAAAGCAAAAATGTCGATACACGGTGAGATTGAGCTTTCTTTCAAAATACGCGCGATCACATAAAATTTGGTCCTGACATTAATGAAAACGAATATATTTACATTACTGAAAGAATTCTCCAGTGAACTTCAGGCTCTACAGCTGAGCATGACGTGTGAACTTTTCAAGGTCGAAACAAGGTGCATCCTCAATCCTGAAATTCAATCCATGTATCCAGCGATTGTGGAAGTGGTTTGTGACCCTTTCCCTCCTAATTTGAATACAATGTCATGCCATAAAAAATCAATATTTATGCAAGATTTACCGCTGATAAAGATGCATATTCTCTCAATACTTCTTTCCTTATATTTTGTCTGGTTCTTAGTACGGGTTTGCGGCATTTCAAAGTGTGCGCTTCATCTTCGGAATTTTGTTGTTGGATGTCTTTAGTTTGTATCGTAAGCCAACTGTTCCTGATACAGCATCCGACAGCGAAAAAGTGTATGGTTTTTGGTATATCGCAAGCATTTTGGTCTTTCTATGTATCAAAAGCTGCTTGATCTGGAGGTAAATGAATTATATCTACCTTGCAAGGCTCCACTACATGTATTGGAGCCGTTTCACTCATGTATCGATTCTCACTTTAAGTCTTGAAATCTGTCATGTTCCGCATGATGTTCGAAAATGCGCTATACAATTAAGTGTGTGCATGCTGAGTAGTATTCTCCAGCGTGTAGATTAATAAAAGCCGCTCTACTGACGTTCAGTTCAGTTCAGTTCAGTGGTAATAGTAACGATAGCCACTAAGGTGATTTAGTAGTCATATTATTTTCACTCGATTTCTCCTGCCAAAAACTCATCCAACCAAAAAATATGTATTTTTGGACCTTCAGCAGTAAGTTGAATTATATGGGAGATTTTCTGGTGTGTATTTGACATTACGGACTTACTCATGATCCTGACTTTCAGTGCACTTCGTGATTTTTCTTGGTTTGTTTCTCTAAATTTGGTTACATTGGAAAGTAAAACGTTAGCACACTTCTCAAGTGAGCAAAATTTTATCGTAAAATGAGCATGTGACTATTCAATCTCTACAGGATTAGTACAAATCAAACAACTTACTTGAGTATCCCGTATACATTTAAGTACCTGAATTTCAGTCAAGCATTGGTGCGTTAGTGCGGTTTAGACTTGGATTTCCGGCTGTTTTAAGAGGCAATTGTTCTGTTTCAGTATGTTTCTCCGTTAATCTGTCATAACCTCAGTAACTTTGAAGGCTATGATGTAACCAGCTTACTGTTGCTCATCAATCTTGGGTTTTCTCACAGAAGTTTCTTAAGCAGTTAAAAGACAGCTGTCTTATTCACTGAAGGTAACTAAACAGTTCATAGACATCTATTTGCCTTTTCAGCCAAATTGCATTAACAGCCGTGAACCAGCACATTTATCTATCAAGTTACTGAACGCTTCTACATTTTAATAAAACAGAAATGTATCAGTTCAAGTTTCCACACTTCTCAACAGTATAACAATGAAAAGTAGGTAGAGGAAGAACGACATTCAAGCAGATATGTATGAGAGGGAAGGGGTCAGACTAATAATTACTGAATTATCCAATATCTTTAAGACTGTATACATCCGCATCATTGTGCATAATTTTGGGTCATTTCTTCAAGTTTTCAGCCACTGATTCATCTCAAGAACCCCAACCAGGCAAACTACGTTTTCTTACGTATTTCAAACCAGCATTCCTACACTATGAATTGATACCACATCTTGTTCTGGGTACTTCCAGCTTCTTATGAACTTTAAGCGACACCATTGTGATAAGACATTTGAATCCACTAGATACTTGCCTGACTGAAACACTACGATTAAGATAGCACGAATTAAGGAATTGAATATCTACTAGGGTGATCCATACCGGACTAAAAAGCAGCCGTTACAGTAGCCACACACATTGCTAATACAGATGATGGAGTGCTTAAAATAATCTAAAATATCAGCAAACCGATTAGTCTTACTAGTAAAGAATTTGAGTAAATCTAATTATAGTCAAAATAAAGCTGTGGTTTACTTGTGTGTATAATTGACTCTTAATCAAGTGGGTCACTGGTTTCAGCAGCGTTCTCCGTGCCAGGAAGTCTGATTAGTTAATAACGCTCACAATTAGTGTCGCTTACTGCCTAATGCATGAATGTGTACATGGATGTCTAATGCATTATTATTTCAACTTTTCGAATTCAAATCAGTCTTATTGTTAATGCATGCTATTTTTCAGAGATTCACACACAAAATTCCAGTGAAGTGCCTCAAAAAATCCCATCTGCCAGTTCGTAAAGTATGTGTACCGTACTCTTTTCTGGAGACCCTGTGGTATCTACATACCCTTGAGGGTATTGGTGTCTCACTAAATCCCAGAGCTGAAACCGTGTTGATTGACTGGGACTTCATTGTGTGTACCGTTAGGATAGAAGTAACTAAAAAAAAGAAACTTTCTTTGTTATCTATGCTATGCTCCGGTCTACTGCAGCCCGGAAACAGTTAACAATGAGTTTCTCCGTCAACTGGGTGACTCCAATCAAGATTGTAGATAGATGTCTTAGTACTAGCTGGGAATATAAATGTACAGATTGGGCGTCTAGGCTAGTGAGACAATCGTTTTGGTTCCTAACAAGGTTTAGTCTCTTTCATGTATAGCAGGGACCGTCTTGTGCAGTTTATGCAGACCAGATCTTTTTTCTAGCCAGAAGCAACTTCTGGCACAACCATCACCGTCTTGCTACTTGGTGTTGACCTTATGCCGCTCAAACTTGGACTCAAGTAAATCACATTCCAATCGGCTACCGACGTCGTAGATGCATTCATGACCTCCTCCCCTTCTGGTCCACCCGTCTGAACTCTAATTACAGTTTTTGCTATGCTTAATTCACCTCGTGTTTCGGTGTTCATCGAAATCATCGTTCTAGACGCGTTGATGTGACCAAATTGGTTCCTTCCAGCGTTGCAACTAACAAGCACACTGAGCTAGATTTCAGGCTGTCAAACCTTCAAAAAGTATAGATGAGTATTGGGTACACGTACAAGACGCTGTGAATATGGCTCGTGATTTTAAAGATCCGATGCACTCTTTTGCGAGGTTCTAAATTGATTTTGTCTTTCTGTCTATTAATAAATGATTTAAATATCCCTCACTGAGTCATAAAAGAACAAATACTGCGGCCAACAAACTTGTTTTTGGCGAATTCATCTTCTGCACCTTTACAATCGCATTTAAACATAGTGGGCATAAAAATATCAATATCTGTTAGTCAGTAATCGTTAGTAGTTTATGGCCATGAAAATAATGTAAAAGTATGAATTGTGTAAGAGATATGAACTGAAGAGTTTAAGAATTGAGAAGTGAATAAGGACAGGGAATGGAAAGTTTGCATCTGTATCCACAATTCTGATTTCTATTGCTGTGTTGCCATGACTTCAGGGATGCAATGTAATCTTCCGAAGAGTATGAGAAAACGTTTACTTTGCATTGCTGAAGCTTTGGCAATACAGCAATTCGAGCTCACACTGTCGAAAACCAGCTCGCTGGGGTGGATGCAATTTTAAAAGTAAGTAGTGGTCAACAAATTCACCACTTTAGTCTTTATCCTCAAAAGAACAGTCGGTGCAGATCAATTCCTTAGCGTCGTCTTACATTTGGGAGTTGCGTTCCGTTAAAAGTAGTAGACATGAAGTGGTTACAGGGTTTTGATCATAGGTTTCTTCGCAATATTTTTCGCCTATGATGGAATCACTGTGAGCAGCATTGAGGTCAATTGAAGGGTATTAAGCAACACAAGTAAGCCGATTGATAAGGTTGTAAACCTTAGTCGACTGTCATGGCTTGGACATGTTATACGCGTACCGAGCCACCGCCTTACCTCAACGTGCCATGCCACGGGAGGTTGGAAGAGGGTTCAGGGTGGCTAGACCAAGACGTGGAACCATTTGATGAAGTCTCAAACTGTTAATTTGAGCAATGTGTGTAGATATTTAGACTGCCTGTCTGGGGTCTTCAAGACTATAGGAACGAGTGGTTGAGGACTGACTGTTGATGACATGGTTGAAAATCGGTCACAATGGGACATATATGTTCACTCTTTGATGTCTTCTAAAGCTTGAATATTTTCACTAACCATTGTCTTGAAACTGCTCATTCTGTCGCATAACTTTGTCTACTTTGAAATCACTCTTTTTCTATCCACGTGTACTGCTATGAAGTGTGGCAACTTGAAGTGATACACTTGTGTGCGAGGTTCTATGCTGATTTTATCTGCCTGTTCCGAAAACTGCAATTTGCTAAAATTGTCACCTAACAGAACTTTTATCTGCTCACTCGTAATCAACCAGATGTTCTTCAAGTAATAAATCAAAATATCAAAAATTAAAAGGGACGTGAACATGTACTTCGTCTGCTGTACCATCACCAAACTCGATGGGCCGTGGTAGTCCAAATACGACTACGCTAAAAGAAAACTGTAGTCAAAACACGACTTGGCACCACTCCGTAAGTCTTTGATTGTTACTCCCAACCGCGTTAGTTGTCTGACTGGAGTCATAGAGATGATAAGAACCAGTGCCTCGAAACGTCTAGTGACATGCCTCAAAATTGATCTCACTGGTAGTGGTATATACGTTGTTTGCAATCTTTGAAGTTTTTCATATTTTCACCCTTCGTACACTTGTCTACCTTAGTATCACTCTTTCCACACACTTCATTGTATTCTGCTATGAATTTTAGCGAGTTTTACTGATGCACTCCTCCGCCAGGTTCTATAATGATGTTTGTTCTAAGATAGAAAGAGTCATATACACCAGAACATCTATGATAGTTTAATAGGAACAGTGATGGTAAATAAATACTGTCGGCGTACAGAGACAGACAAATCAATCTAGAAATATGCACAAAAGTACATCGTCCCAAGCTGCCGCACTACACAGCAGCATGCAAAGAACAATTGCGTAGAAAGAGTGGTTTTGAAGGAGATAAGAGTGTACGGATGGAAAGGATTTCAGAAATGAAGGTTAAGGAAAATGAGCAAACTCAAGATGTTAGAGTGACCAGCCGTATCCACTGACTTTTGCTAGCTTTTTGGATGCAGGTTATTAGCTGTTTTTACCGCTTTTTCTACAGCAGACTGAGTATTACGCCAGGTTTCATCATAAAAGGGATTTCTACCGTGTTCAGATGAATGCCTCGCTATATCTTTTGTAAATACACACTTAACATCTCATCTTCCAGTCGAGTACACAGAAGATTCACTGCTGCTTGTTTCCTTTACCAATTAAGGCGTAAGCACACACGTGCTCATACTAGCGTATGACCATAGATCAAGCAGGTGCTGCATAAAGAGCGACAATCCCCACCAACCCTCAGCAATGATATCTGATAACAGTATTCTCTGTGTTAGCGAATGCCAAGTAGGGTAAAGTCTTTACTGATGTTTAGAGTTAGTGCTTGTCAGAATCAAGTAGCTGTTAGAACAAGATTGTAAAAGATAATCATCGTTGTCCATTCTTTAGCATAGGATACTGTAGTTGCCTCTAATACGGTCTTCTGATTAACTGTCCCTTCTTACTTCAGCGTTAAAGCCGCCTGCCAGTATGACTATATCTGAATGTTTTTCTCTACGTTGAAAAGTTAATAGTTTGATAAGAAGTATTTTACACCATTCAAACTAGTTGGCGAAAGTGAAAATTGGCACTAACTAGTGTATGATTCCTTTATAATTCTTACGGATTCGTAACCGAATAGCACACAAACGAGAAATGTATTCTTCATCCTGCCCAATGGACATCTGTTTGTGGTTGGTTAAATATGACCTTTTAAGAAGTTTGGAATTTAATTACGCTTGTTTTGAATCCACCTAGAAAACCCATATCGCCAGTACCAAAACACCACAGGGCAATAGCAGCGCAATATTTCAGGGACCTATCTTGTCTATCTCTTGCTTCCCATAGAAAAGCACCATCAGCATAAACTGTTGGTCATCCATAGGAAACATATTACTGCTGTCACTCACTCCAGCCAGGAGTCCACCTTCTCCCTTAAACCTCCATCATAGCAAAGCTGTTTTTGCTGTAACAGAAACTGCTTTTTTGTCTAACCACTATCCAATAGACTTTTCTGGTATGGTAGCAGCTTAATGAACAAACATCCCCACCCGCTTAGCTCAAGTCATTATGACTTGTAATCCCAACCACCAAGTCAAGGTAGAACCTATCAGTAGAGAGAGCCTATATGAATCGTGTTGGTTCCCCTGTGGTTATGGTAAGATGATTGTTTTCATTCTCCATAGCTTGGAATGGTTGTTAGTGTAGACCAGTTTGACGGAACTATCTCTCATTTTCATGTTCCAGTCAATATCTCGGTCCATTTAACCAGTAGTACCTGGCCGTCATAATTGCTGAATTTTGAGTACAGAACATCTGACTTTGCTACGTTGACTCATTTTCTAACTTAAGCTAGCGTTAGAAAACAAATGTTCAGGTTCTATTCATCTTGTAACCATATAGAAAATAGTCAAGGAGTAGAGTAATGGTGGTCGTTTCTCTTCTCTCGGTGTTCTGCCAAAAAGTTTAGTAACAATTTCTGAGATTATACTCCGAACTCATTCCCCATGAAAAGTCTCACTAACCAACAATTTTCCACGTAATCTCCTGAACATGTGTCTTCTAACACATGAAATTTTTTGCTGCATAGTGTGGCGACTTGGACAGTTTCACTTTTGCACTAGACTCTGGTTTGCTTGTCTACCATTGACAGCCAGTTTTCTAGAGTGTCATGGACTTTGGATCTGAATTGAGTTGCGCTGTTCTTATCTTCACCTTTATGTCCTGTTGGGAGGCATAAGCAGATATGAGCATCTGACATTGATCGTATGGTAACATTGGGGTTTATGAACAAAAATATCGCCGCAGTTTATCTACAAAGGTACGTTAGTTACTTAAGGACTTCTACTCAAATTCAGTCATAGAGAAAGTCAAGGAAATTTGTCGTTTAAGGTGAGGAAAACTAGTGGTTTGGGTTGGTTACGTTCGACAACTCAGTGCTTATGCACCTTTGCCATAATGTCGTGATTGGTTGTTCATCTTTGAGTCGTAGTGATTGAACTTTAAATCGACTTGGTATTCTTAGGTTTATCTTGGTACATCTACTGGATGAAAACACAAGATATGTTTTCTTCGAAACACTTGAGAAAAAAGTGAATAATCTGGGTGCTTTATGAAACTGTCAGATGTGAGGTAATTCTGGAAGTCTAGTTTCTGTTGACGCCTAGTTTACGTGTAGAAATTGTAGTAGTTGAGTGCTTCAGTAACTTCGTTAATGTAAAGCATTCCACCAACCCTAAAGCAGTGTTTACTGCAGAAACCACGGAGCTAATATAAAGTCTCATTTGGCGTTTGCCAGCCTTCATGGTGTTACCTGAAAAAAATTCGACTCTTTATCAAAAGAAGCGTTCTTTGAAACATTTCGCTGTCCTACTCAACAATTGGGAGAAATGTCCACCGAAGATACTGCACACAGGGAAGTCACGTGCTCTCTGATAGATATCTTTGTAACAATACTTGTGTATATTGCAGCTAAAAAATGGAATAATGGTAAATTTAAGTGTAGAATATTGAGGAAAGTAACTCTGCCAACAAACGTTTAGGTGTGTATAATTTTCGGCAATGGATTTCAATGACTTACAAGTTAAAGTGGGCCGAAATTATATAGGCACTTGACCTTCAACATAATTGATTCCAGTTTAAGCGTAGTCACTCAATCTTAGTTTTACGAAATCTAACGTGTGCATTTTTGTTGGTTCACATGAAAGTTGTGGTGTGCTCGGAACATAAGTCTGGTATTCAGCACTTGAACTTGAGAATCCTGATTTTATGAGGCGAAGTGCGTCACTAACGTTGCATGTTTTTATTTCACTAGGTGTGCTTCATACAAATTATTTCACTTGGTTTGATTATCACCGTTCGCCGAATTTCTTACTGTTCTCTAGTCTCAGGAAACAACATTTTCCAGCAATGTCCACTGTCAAAATTTTAACTGTCGTACAACGTCTATATTCTATGAGCGTGTGTTGGACTTTTATAAAACGACGTGGCTGATACAACAGTGTCAATTTTAATGTAATTCTGTTACCTGGTAAAGATGCGTACACTAGTTTATAAGCCATGCTTAGTTTGTTAGAGTGAATGATACTATCCGGTTTCTCAGGTCATTGTAGGTGAAATAGGGTTTGAATTTACGACTGAAATGCCTCCACTAGAGGACCGTAGCTCCATGTTACTTAATCATTACAAAAATATTTTTTCATATTTTCAATCTTGAAAATTCTTATTTTCTAAGGTTATTCCTAGCAAACTATCTGAAAAACTATGGTTAGAAGTGTTTTCTGCATGCCTTTACTCATTTTGTTTTGATTTACAGATCATAAATGATGATTTCTACGGATCAAGAACTCAAGGTTTCTCGCATGACAAAAAGATCTCAAAACAAAAAGTTATTCAGTCGTGATAATTACAAGTTGCGTGAGTTTGTATTGCAACCGTACTGTATCCGGTATTTTGAAGTCAGTGGTGGGGTAAGTTTGCCCTCACAAGGAATCCATATTATATTTCAGAATCGTGGTAAAGAAAAAGGTCAGCTCCTGTTAAGTCATGTAAAGTTTATTGAGAAAGTACAAGATGATGAGTTAGATAATAAAAAGAATGCCTTCCAAGTATGTTTAGAGTTGTCCATATCTTTGTGTTATCTAAAAGGTTGCTTATGCTGAAGATGCGATTTCCAGCACTTGGTATCTTTTATACATTGTTGCAAATTCCGCCATTGAAAGGGATGACTGGATAAGTCTAGTAAGATTTTGTAAGTTTTTCTGACGAAACATTCGTTACCTTTTTCGCTTTTGCGTTACTATTCCTATTAGCAAGCTAGGTAAAACGTTTGTCGATATTTCAGACACACGGGAACGAGGTGCCACTTTTCTACCACGCTATCATCCTGGTGTTTGGAAACGTCCTGGTCGATATAGTTGCTGTGATGATATTAATCGCCGTTCTATGGGATGCCAGCCAACCAATGAACCAGGTCCATCTGTGGTCATTGAGCAACTTTGGCGTACAGCGACAGGTGTTGATTCAAACAACTTTCAACCTCAAATGACACCCAATCCCGTAGCTAGTACACAAGCTCCATTTCCTATATCCACTCCTCAGTTAGTTACAGTTCAGCTTAGTTCAAATATACAGCTTACGTCTAATACGTTATCTGTTCCTGATTTAAATTCTACCAACGTCGCCTCTACTGCCGCTTCGTTTATTCCACTTACTTCCGCTGTTGCGTTACCTGTACTTCATCAAGCACCAGGTCTTTCAGCTCCTGTTACAGGAGTGCTTATGTCTACTGCGGTAACCAACTCAGTTGCACCTTCAACCTTATTTCAAATACAACAACAACAACTTCTCTTACAACAAAAACAACAACAACAACTTGCTATGCTTGCAAATAATAATGCTGGCCAATTTTCTCATTTAAATAATGCATTGCGTCGGTCAGGAATGAACCAGAATCGAGGACATTCTCTGCGTTATGTTCAGCCAACTTTCGATATGGTAAGTATGTAATCATATCTTCAGTTGTGATGTCGCCTTAGGGTAGTAAATACTGATGCCGGTGGTGAGACTGATTCTGATGTATGATACTTCTGATATTTATTACAAACTAGTTTCCTGGTGTCATATAATGTGATTTCATTTTTAGGTATTCTGATGTATGATACTTCTGATATTTATTACAAACTAGTTTCCTGGTGTCATATAATGTGATTTCATTTTTAGGTATAGGACTGATTTTATTCCTTTTTCAAAGCAATCACAGAAATTAGTTGAAATTTATTTTGTCGGACTGTGAAAAGTTAACAAAGCTGACTCATGATATGATTTATCTTTTGTCCATTTAGTGATAAGGTAAACAAATCTTTTGCTGAGTATGATTCGAAAAAGTCAAGCTCTGACTATCAGGTGTGAAACTCAAAAAGCTACCTGGGATTGTGATTTTGATTTCAGTAGTTATTTTGTCACTGGTTTCACAGAACTTTTCACTAGTTGTTTGGTTGTTTGACTTTACGTGTGTGTGTTCACCATTTCCCCTTCTGGGTGTTGGATTGAATCTACTAACTGCTGATTCAAGCAGATGCGAAGATAAAACTTTTCTGAAAATTTTAAGTATTTTTCTTGTCCAAATATTTGTCATATTTCTTGGGTGAATGAATGTCCACAACTTCTCACTTGTATAAGTGACATTAAAACTTACTCTGATGGTTAGAAACTAATCAGTTTTCACTCAGTGAAAGACAATGTGGATTGCTATTCTACCCAAAGTGTTGTTCTTGGATGTTGCAATGTTAACTGTAGATTATGTTACATGAGTTTAATATGGTGTTCTGTCTGCATTGCTGGTAAAATGAGAACTTTTAGTGTCTGCTTCTTATGGTTAATCAAGATATATGCGATCTCATTGAGTTGGATATGTATAAAAAATGAACCAACGCCTTTTATCAAATCTGTTATTGAAGCTGTATCTATCCCAGTAGATTTGAACAATCAATGAGAAGGGAAAATTTAGCATTATCTACTAGTTTTGCTCCCATAAAATAAACAACACTGACATCGGAGGATACAGTCAGTTCATCATTATTAATCTAAAACCTTTGCTTTTCTCAAAAATTCATATCAAGAACTCCACTAAAGAATTTACATGCTTTGGAGGTTCGCTGAAATAAAACGTAATCATACAGAGGAGTGTTTGTGATCTCAGTGCCAGTCAGTCAGTCGTAATATGGATCCTGGCATTACTGGGTTTTTTTTACTTGCGACCAAACTAAGGAGAAGCAGGTTCTTACAGCTTCATCCACCCACCACTGATCTTATCCTTTTATTCTTCCTACTCTGTCTGAAAAGTGTGTTTAAAATTTTGGCAGTCTTGCTGTTAAACTTTCTGTTAGGGTTAAATCTAAAGCGACCGATATGATAAACCTTCAGTCTTCGTGATAAACCCACTCATAGTCACAACAAGGGGTAAAACTTTTGCCTTTTTTTCTTGAATCACACTGAAAATTCTTGATCGGCTATCTAAGTGTGATCTTGCTTCCGTATGGTGGAAGGTTTCATCGTTTTCTATATTCCTTTTCCAGTTTTCTGATAAAGTTTTAAAGAATGGCTATTAAGATGTCTTTTGACTGTGAATTATTTCTTCTCTCATTTGATTATGTTACTCTAAAACGCTGAACATATGTTTAGTTCCCGATTGTAAAGATAAACCATCTAATCTCGAAGGTGATTTTCTGTTGTCCTTTGCCCTGTCCACATGATTTCCAAATTGAAGTGATCTACCTCCTATTCTAATACAAGTATTTCTTCTTTCTTTTCCTTTTATAGGGCTGTTGCCATCTTTAAGCCGCGGAACTGGTAGCATATCTGAAATTCGGTTGTATCATTCTTTTTTGTTTCAGTCAATTATATCCCATCCCACTAGGGAATCATTTATAGTTTGTATCTGAAACTGGTTAATGGCAAGCACCGATAAAAAAATACTTTTAAAATTTTTTTTCTTTTTGTGATGGTTTACATGAAATTCTAACACTCTAAATATACATCTCATCGGTAAGATATCAAACTACTGGAGGAGATTTTTATCTCACGTATTTGATTCCATGCTTTAAAGTACTGTCCACTTTCTTAGAAAGCGTCGAATTTGCGAATCCACATAGATGCAGGTGTGTTTTGCACCCACCCCGCAACTGTCATCTTTTTAAACCAGAAGTAAATGATAGCTGCATTGAGATCAGAGCAGAAAAGGCCTAGCAGTAACTAGACTAAAACAAGACCTTAGTAAGTCACCTAACATAAGTTTGAGTAGTGTGAGAATTTTCGTTTTGGATACACAATGTTAGGAATTTAACCAATAACTTTAAATTCTCGTTTCCGTTATCTAAGCGTCTAATATTATATCCTTGTATACTTATTTGTTCCTTGTAATCTTATCTATCCTCTGGTTGGCGTTAAAATTCTGTTGATTTTCTCCTTTTGTCCTGTTTGAGTGTGCATTATTTTTAGATTCTTGCCTTTATTTAGTCTTACGTCTACTTTTTCCGTGAGTGCTTCTCGTATCACACAGGAAAAAACTGCACGACAATGTCGGATAAAACGTATAAGCACAGCCTACTCTAAGTAACAGTAATTCTGTATTCAGTTTTGTGCAGTTTAACTTTGTGTTTGTTGTAAATGAGTTTTTAATGTATGCCATCTTGGATACCCTGTTTTCAGGATGAAGGAGAAAATACGGTTATTGCAGTGCATAATTACAATCCTGTGAGGGAAAATCAACTACCCTTACAAAAGGGTGAAAAGTACTATGTTGTTAACCAAAGTAATGCTCAGTGGTGGTATGTCAGGAATATGGCTGGTCAATTGGGTTATGTGCCTACCAATTATGTTCACAAACCAAATAGTTTGAATTCATTTGAGTAAGTCTAACTTGTTTGTACTACAAGTTTCTTATACTGCATAAACTGATCTAATCAAATGGTCGATGTCTTGATTTCATTTATGAATTCAACCACGGGTGATGTTTCTGTCTCTTAAAAATTCTGCTATGTAAACTCTTTTCTGTGAAAAATAAGGTTGGTTATTTCTATTATTATAAAATTCAACTTTTCAAACTATTCAGTCTTCATTTAACTGATTCTTCAGTAAAATCCATTGCCTTTTTCCGTTTTTAATAGTTATATACACATTTCATTTACGTGGTCCGAATAATTTGCTCGGGTCATCTGCGGTCAACACATGGTTTTCTCATACATGTATCTGTGCGTAATTTCGACACTGCTAGCTCCATGTTAATACAACTTTTAGAAAGATAACCTGATACTGAACGCTGAACTTTAGTCAGCTGTTTGATAATCCCCGTCTTTAACTATTTGATTATGTTAAAACATACCCTAACCAATCTTCCACATTATCGAAGTTGCTTATAACTCTGCTGTTTATCTGTGAAAAGACCTTATCATATGAAACGAAAACAATATTGGATGTTATCCAACCGTTTACCGGTTAAAGCTGCCAAGTACAGTTGAAACGAATCAACAAGTGGGAATATAAGAAAGTGGAGATAGTGAAATCAGTATCGGTAAAAAAATTACAGAGAAAAAAGTTAACGAAATGTAAATAAATGAAATGTATCGAGTGTTGAGATGTTTAGAATTTGGAGGATAGCATATTTATGTGTTTGTGTCACTTCCACCCCTTTTTGGACCTTATCATGTCAGCTCTCTAACACTTGATATATCTCAAACTAACTGTCAATGATTTTGTGGTGTATTTCTTGGCATGACTATCTTAAGACGTTTTACATTGTATTCTGACTAGCATAGCGCTTCAAAGTAAACAATCTTTATTTAGGTAGGTGACAGTAAAGCATGTTCCAACCACTTCTGTCGGTATAAGTTTGTAACATCATGAACTGGATTACTTTCATCAGTTATCACATCTTAACGTTAATCATTAGGCAAACTCATTGGTGTTGGTAATGCTTCAAGGGTATCAGTGATCAAATACCTGTAATCTTAGTGGTTTGCTCATTCTGAATGACCATGATTCCTTTCTGCTCAGTAAAATAAACCCAATATTGTCTGGTATCCAATGACATTACCTGCTTATTCAAGCGTTGGTAGTTGGGGCAGGATCTGAACTTGTGATGCATGGGTTGAAAGTCAAGTACCTGAGTCAACAGCTTATTTGCATTTCGCTCGAAATTTAGTAGACATTTAAATTTATAGTCGGTTCCAAAAGTCGCACTACTTTGCAGTTGCCAACCCAACTTTTTGAATTTTTTCTGAGATTTCTTCGATTACTAATCCTTCAAAGTAGATGAGACACTAAGTGAAGTGGCTAACCGGATGAAACTAAGCCTCAATCCATACCAGCCTTAAACCTCTTATTTTATTGGAAAAGTAAGAAATTTATTCTAAACATTCTAGAAATCTTATCAAATGAATTAAGGTCAAGTGCGTGCACCAGCGAGATACAACTCCACTTTAGTTAGATTATCAATCCTTGAAAATTCGATGAAAAACTCTCACCTCACTAAGGAAAAAGCTGATTAAAAGGGTAAAATGAATATTTGACGTACAAAAAGTTCAAACATATGACATTTCATTCATTAACCTTACTGTTCATATATTTTCTAAAATAATTATAGACTCAGACACCTAAATTCGACTATTCTACGTCTCAGCCACGACTGAATATTTGCTTCATACCACATATTTCCTGCGAATGTTTTTTCTAGTAACCAATTTTCTTTCACTTAAAATTAGGTACTCTTTTCATTATGAAGTAAATTATTTATTCTAAAAATGAGTTTTATGGATAGTTTCAGCAAACTGAATATCACTTCCTTGTGAACACCTTTCTACTGTATCTGCAAGACTTAAGTAACCCTTACTTCTTTCTTGCCGATTTTGTTAACATTTATGCGAAAGAACGACAATATTCCTGTCCATAGAGGTTTTAGATTAACTAAAATAGTTTCACCGATTCTAGTCTCCATGACTATTAGGCACGTAGCTGGAGCTATGAAGGGTAGAAAACTTTGAAAAGTAGCGCGAATTTCAGATTCTTTCTTGAACATGTCGATTGTAAAGTCCTAGAACGGTGACATACTAGTGACGTTTCTCTTTATCAGGTGAGAGTGTTTTCAAACTAAGCTAGCAGGCACATCATATGATTTCCGAGCTTTTGATAATTTATCGTCTAAGGTATCTACTTTAGTTGCCTCCGACTTCACACAGATTGATGTACTCCCTGGAGAGCATCTTGTTGATTTGGAGTATGCAGACGACATTGTCCCGCTAGGTGGAGATGCTGATAAAATGCAGCGTCTTGTGGATACGTTGGGTAGAAATCTGAGTATGTTTGGTATGCGTTTCGCACCTGTGAAATGTAAGATGATGCTCCAGGGCTGGTCTGAAAGTATTCCCACTTTAATGATAGGGAGTGAAGCTACGGAATATCTCGATCACTTAACTTACTTGGGGAGTTGCATCACCTCTAACGGGCTCGTTGCTGATGAAATCTCAGCTCGGATACAAAAGGTCTATTAGACATCTGCAAATTTGCGTCATCTCTGGTGCCGGCTGGTGAAATATCTAACTATCTATCGAAGGACATGTATACTGCTCTGCAGTTCAGTCCGTCCTGTTTTACGGCTGAGACATGGTCATTAAAATTAGAAGACATGAATCGGTCGCAGAGTTTTAATCACAGGCATGTTTGTTACAGTGCTCGCGTGTGGCATAATCACTATGTGAGCAATACTGAGGTCAGGCGAAGGGTACCAGGCAAATCGATTGATGAGGTTGTGAACCCTATTCAACTGTAATGACTTAGATATGTACGTGTACTGCGTATGCTGAGCCACCGTCTCTCTCAACGTGGTATGATACTGGGAGTTGGATTAGGTTCTAAAAGAGTTCAGGTTGACCAGTTCAAGATATGGCACCAATCGATGAAGTCCCTAGCTGTTGATCTAAATCGTGCAGGGAGTCGTAGACACACCTTTGTCTACTTTGATATCACTCTTTCCTATCCACTTGTATATTGCTGTGAAGTGTGGCAACTTGAGCCGATACACTTGTGTACGAGGTTCTACGTTGATCTTGTCTATGTTTATCTGGTATCTACATCGAATAGTGTTCACCCCAAATATCCATCTTTTCCATTCCCGATAATAAATGTACCTCTGAAGACAAACATTTCGAGAAGCTTTTGTATCGCATTAGCAAATTGTTTGATAATAAAAGTAGCTACTTATGATTAGGATTTGTACCTAGTAACTGCAAGTCTACTTATGATAAATGTTTACTCATTGTTATCGACCATTACCTTTGTAGTCTGTATGGAAAATCGTAATATCTGATGTTCTCACACTCATTTTTCTTATAATCTTACAAATCACTATTAATGCATTGTTTCTATGATAGTAATCGAGAAAATATAACAGGCAATCATTTGAAAGGATTTTTGTTAGCGAAGGACGATATTAATCACCACAATCGTATGTTAAATACATACCACTTTCATAAATGTTGAAAACATTTCCTTCTGTATAATAACATGAAGCAAATACCTACGACATAGTTTTTAAAACTTCACTATCAGCAATTAGATAACAAACCACTATTTGGTTGCATTAAACTCGGGAGAACTAGACAAATAGTCAGGTCTAGTGGAAGGGATAAATGGTCCAACTCTTTTCCCTATTAGCTTTCATAACACGAGTGTATCTAACGATGTCTTCCACCAAATATGTTCTGCAAAACGAAGATAACAGCTCAATCCGGTTACATTGTTTTAGTAACTTTAATTAAAGACAGTGAATAGTAAGCATATGACGTTACTAAACTCTGTGTTAGAGTATCTGTAAGCATGTTTGGGGTTGCAGAAAATGGAGTACACCGGTTGATGCTGTCTCTATTACTACTTATCCTTTTCTCAAGTTTGACTATCGAAGTCACTTTCTGGGTATAATTTCTCAAATACTCATATTTTCCGACAAAATGGGCCTATTCAAACAACGCTAACATTTACAGTTTTTGGAGCACTGCTGTTATCGAAAATAAATCTAGAGATTGCTTGTCATTCTATCTAGAACTGATGTCAGTTGGCTGTCTGACCACTGTTCAGGAATTTTAACAAAACTGGTATTAGAAAATGAAACAAGTGACCCCTGATTTATTGGTAAAATGAAAACATATGAAGCATTTGATTCAATAAGTGAATACTATTATAGGTCATTTTAATGCCAGCTGGTTATAAAGTCGAGACAGTCCATTAGTTTTAGTTGGTTTTCAACTTTCTCGCCAGCTTACGATCAGCAACTTCCATTTTAAGAGCACCAGACAATTTACAGCTTCCTTGCAGATTGCATTTTACATGCCATTCGAAATGTCTTGAATTCACGGCTAATCTTCATAGCATTCAAATACAACTCTGTTTACCGAAAGCAGAGGGATTCACATGTCTAGTATTTTTTGTGACATAGTATCTTATTTTTACTGTAGAAGTCAGATCTAATTTCTGGTCAATTATTAATTATCACCTTTATTTTTAGTCAGTAAACACTTTCTCAATCATAATCCTGTATCTTACATGCTTTTCAGTTGGTATTACAAAGATATTACAAGACAACAAGCTGAAGCTATTTTACTCGACGAAAATCGTGAAGGTTGTTTTCTGGTTCGAGATTCAGTCAGCAAAAAGAATACTTACACTCTGTCAGTCACATCAAAAGATCCGGAAGCGTAAGTTTCTTATTTCCGTTTCAGTAAACTCGGTCATAATATCTTAGTGCTCCAAATGTTGGAAATAACTACATAAAAAGTAATTCCATTACGTACTGAAAACATTTCCTGTCTAAAAGGAAATCCCATATTCACGAAGAGTTTCATTTCTAATGGGCATGATGGTTTTGTTTGAGCGGAACAGCATTTGTAAGGTGAAATGCGCACCAAGCAATGAGACAAAGTCACATGACAATACCACAAATATATCAAAGAAAGATGTCATATAATAGTTACAATCTTTAAAAGATTTTCTTATTCGGATTGCTTTTCGTATTCATGTAAACTGCAAAAATGAACTAGGTTTCGATCACTGTTGCCTTCAGTTCTCAATCCTTTCTATTAAATTTACTAGTTGCAAAGTCACTCGGTCTTGTAGACCAACCAGCTTCTACGATAGCTAACGGTACTTGCTATGAAAACCGGTTAAATTGCATACGCAGAACAAGTCCAGATCCCTGAGATGGTTGCTATACTGCTTAGACTAATAGCTTGGGTTGTACATAGACATTCACTTACAAATCTCAGTAATGTTCTTTTTTTTCCACCAGAAGCTGATGAAACTACAATTTTATCGATATTCAAACATGAAGTGAAGTGAATACTGTATTTAATAAGCAAAAAGTACATAACCAAACTCCGGGATTAGTACCCAAAACTTATGGGACGCATTTTGAACCAACTCATGCGCTATATCATAGTAGAAAGCATATTCAATATCAACTAGTCTTTTTGAGCACCTGATCTTCACCGTCTTGATCTTAGTTCTAAAATATTCACAGCATGTTAAAGAAAGAGAAGGAGAAAAAGAATAAAGAAATTAAGTGGCATACTGGTCATAATTTGGATAAGTGGTTGGGTTTTATCTGCTCGGTGTTCTTTCGTTCAGGGTTTTTAAAATTTTATTGAACTTAGTACACTATACTTACGAGATGATGAGTCCCCCTAACTGAAAACATCAGACGGCTCTATGCGATCAATCATCACCAGATTCCGTACAACTGCTCATATTTGGTGGTAACACCATGTAGCAGCACAAATTTTAGACTAATGCGGGTTGTCACTCAAAAAATGTGATCACCTTGTTAACACCTTCAACATATTGATTATTTTTTACGCTTGTCATTCTAATGGATTTCATGCCATTCACTAAGTACTGACTGTAGCACTGGTTAGGAAACAGTAGGCGGAGTGGAGCCGTGGAATGAAGGGTTGTTGTGTTGGATTAGCATTTACTGGTGCATCATGATTCTCTAAATATGGTTTAGTGGAACTTAAAATGAACAGCGTTACAGACCACATCCTTTTATGAAGTCTAAAATCCTCAAGAGCTATCAGAACCAAACAGATTTACCCGGGAGTCTAGTGGATATTTCCGTTGTCATCAAACTGATCAGAAAAGTTAAATCAAATGTTTTCCGGAATGGACAATCAATGGCTATATACATATATATATATATATATATATATATATATATATATATATATATATATATATATATATACATATCCTATAGTTTTCCTGCGTCTTATGCTTTTGAGAAACCGAACGACCAATAGGCATGAGATCTGAAACTTGTTTTTCGAAAGCTTTTGTGCATTAGTAAACTCACGATATCCAGATCATGTGACTTGGAGGCTGGAGATATCACCAGACATGACTCGAAACCTCAACTTTCAATGACTGTGTTTTATCTTCGAGTTTTACGCTATTGTAAGGCAATACAGATGAAATGAAAGCTGCTTAAATGCATTCCGTGTGACGTTTTCCTCTCCTGATCATTCTCTCATTTTCTTACCTGCTTTCTCTTTCATATCTCTACGACGTTGCTGTTATTATTATTTGTCTGGGATATTCCTAATATTCATGCTCTACGGAGTTATTGGTAAAATAAGTAACCAGTAGGCTTCTTAAGGATGCGCGTCCTCTAATTGGCAATATTAAATCAGTCCTGTCCAACTGAATAATAAAAAAACTCCACTGTCAATTCATATGTTTAACGATATTCAAGAATTCGTAGGATATCCAAAAAAATGAAATTCGACCTGCTCCTCACCAGTTAGATTTTCCTGTATTTCTTGCAGTCTGTGGTGCGTAACCGAAAAGCAAGTTGTTGAATAACTTATTAACATTTTTACAATATTATAGTAAAGACAATAGGCATCTTTTTCAGCTTTGATCCCCACCAAATTCTGATAGTTTCAGGCGTCTCTTTTGTTCATTGACATTTTTTCTTGGTTGACAGCTTCGCTTACAGACAACCTATCTATCTGTTGATAGTATTCCTTTGCGCTTTTTGTGGCGAGCCCTGGTTTTGCACCGTCATGCACCCTCAGATATTTGTCTACTTTCGGTAAAATGGTTCACACATAGGCAAGCGAAGCAGAACAGGCTGCTGGTAAGAGAGACCTGACAACATTGTACCAAATAACCAGGTTACTATCCGGGAAGAGATCAACGCAGACGAAACCAATGAAAGACAGTGAAGGAAAGCTAGTTAGCAAAGAGGAAAAACAAAGAAAACAATGGACCGACCACTTCAAAAAGCTCTTGAATCGACCACCACCACCTGCAACTCGTCCTCAAATGTCACCAGTAATGGCAGAACTACCAGTGAACACAGGTCCTCCGACAAAAGCAAAAGTCCTGAATGCCATATAACTGCTGAAATCCGGGAAATAGCAGGACCAGATGGAGTTCCACCAGAAGCACTGAGAACAGACGCAGAGACAACAGCGGACACGCTCACACCACTACTGCAGAAGGTTTGGAAGGAAGGAAGCAAAGGTACCTGCCGGTCGAATGGAAGAAGGGTTACCTTGTCAAACTCTCGAAGAAGGGAAACCTATACCTTTGCAAGAACTGGCGAGGAATCATGCTCCTGTCCCTGTCACCCAGGGCAAAATATTATGCCACATCATCCTGGAGAGACTAAAGGATGCACGAGATTCAAAATTACGACCGAAACAGGTTGGATTTAGGAAGTACAAATCATGTGCGGATCAAAATTACAACGCTACACATCATCATTGAACAGAGAATAGAATGGCAGTCAACTAGATCTCTACCCCACCTTCATCTCTTTTGAAAAGACCTTCGACAGCGTCGACCGGGAAGTAAATGGGAAACTGCTTGAACACTACGGAGTGCCACAAATCTTTATCAACCTCATTCAACAACTATATGAAAAGGCCACATGCCAAGTGATCCATAATGGAATGCTCAGTGACGCCTTTGGAGTGAAGACGAGTGAATCAAGGCTGACTACTATCACCAATGATCTTCCTGATTGTGGTGGACTGGATCATGCAGCAAATAGTGAGGACGGAGATGAGCATGCGCTAGCTGGACCGATGAAAAGAGCCTAGAAGACGATTTGGATTTCGCCGATGATTCATGTCTAATATCTTGTCGCACAAACTCGAAGATCTGCAGGCAAAAACCAACAAGTTGACAGAAGAGGCAGGGCGGCGAAGACGGGATTTCAAGTGAACATAGAGAGAAGACAGAGGTGATGAAGATACACAACGAACAAAAGCATCAATCAATATCAACATAGGACCAGCATCAACAACAAGAGGCAGCAATCACCATGAACGGGAGAAATCTAAAGGAAGTTGTCTCTTTCACCTACCTTGGCAAGGCAGCATGGTTTCAACTACATTGAGCACAGATGAGGATATCAAAGCCAGAATCGGAAAGACAGCAAGGGAGGCCTTCGTTCATCAATGTGAAATCAGTGTGTAGATCTACTGCACTCCACCCAGCATAAGGCGTGAACAAGATCCGAATTTTCAAGACTAATTGAGTCAAGTAAGCCAGCGCTTGTATGTGATGGTGGTTGAGAGACTTTGGGCATTACGAAAAGCATTTCCAACAAACTACAGACATTGATGAACAGCTGCCGCCTACGCTCACTCGATACTGAAGATCAGATCAGAAGGCCAGAAAGGATAAGCAACAAGGAACTCTGGGAACGAACCAACCAAAAACCTATTACCCAACAAATATGCAGAAGAAAGTGGAGATGGATTGGGGATACACTAATGAGGTCGACTGGGGACATCACGCGCCAGGCCAGTCCCTCGAGTGGAATCCAAATGGGAAACGACGAGTTGGGCGTCCGAGGCGAAGGTGACGTGAAGGAGATCATGTGAGGAAAAAATCAAAGCTTGTTGGCTGTAGTGGTGCCAGATTAAAAATACTGGAGAGAAGAGAGTGCAATGGAGGCGTGCTACTGAAGCCCTATGTTCCACTAGGAACCCAAGGGAAAAATAACAATAAATCTGTAATAAACTAAGCTACTTAAACACCTTCTGAGATACCTTTTAAACGATTAAAACATAAATTACTATGTATAATTTCGTCAAAAGTATCTATAAGTTGAAAACCAAATATCATGTACTTAGGTAAACAACTGCCAGTTCGACCTGGGGGACTGGGCATTAGTGAAAACCGGCACACAATATTTGTGACCCCATAGCATAGACCCTGTCATGGTTCCAGAGTGTTAGTTTGGTTATGTAGAAGTTAGAAGTAGAGTTATAGGTTGAAGAAGAAAGTCAGTGGACCTTCGTCAACTCATATGGCTCAGATATGTGCTACGCTTGCCCAGTCACTGTCTATCCCGTCGCGCAATGTTAGCTAGAGAAGGTTTAGTCTGTAAGAAGGCAAGAATTGGTCAAGTTAAAAATATCAGTCCATGAAGTCCCTGACTGTTGTTCTGGTTCGTCCAGGGGGATGTGAAATCAGTGGTTTGAGACTCTAGTTGATATAGCTCAAAATCTTCTTCAGTGGATTTGATGCATCCACACACTTTCATCTTCCTTGCTCTTTTTTGATGAATTTCTACCACTTTCGAGTGCTTTCTCCCTTGTTTTTTCATCCTTAATCTTCGTGAATCCTCGCTTATTATGTGATATGACAACATGGACCATTGTGCAGTAATTGCAGGTCATAAGTTGATTTTGTCTGTCTGTCTGTCCCAGTTGAGTTGTATCAAGTCATTATTGGATTAAGTAATCAGTAGCAGTTCTCAAAGCTGTTTGTATCATAAATTGACATCATCTTGAGAACCAAAGAAAACTAGAAAGCACCGAACAAATGTTTCTTCCTAGTTTGAGACATCTTGACAATAAGCACCAACGATTCCATAAGTGAATGGATCCAGGATCATCAGGTCTGTCAGCGAATACGTTACATTCCACTCACTCAATCGTGATCTATTGGTTCACATTTTGAAAATCCTCTTACTTCGCCTTATAATCCAACCTACATTGAACGTCATTTTCATTGCACTCCTTATGATTCAGTGTTTTTGCCAACTCAGACAAAGAAACATTTAAAATCTTCATCAACAGCCTTTTTAGTATATGCCTTATGAATAGACCGGCGGTGGCTGAATTGTTGTTTGTGGGTATATGTAGAATGTTTCTTATTCCAATATAACAACCACCACCAGTCAGTTAGAACCAACGTGGGACTTGACATTGCTGTGTAGCCATTCAAGTTGTCACACCTTACGTCAGCCCGTCAAGACCCGTAAAGAGAAACAAAGTGAAATCAAAAATCGTAGCAAGTCGACAAACGAGAAGGGGCAGTACGTGAAGCAAATACCTAAATATGATGAGGCGGTTAGAATGTCGATAATGTGTGGATACATCTGAGTTATATCATATATAGTCTTCAATTGTTGACATCTGTGCATGATTTAGTTCACGTGAAACGCTGTAGCCTTCATATTGCACTAAACATCACTAAGATACTTTGTAGAACTTACTCCATTGTTTTGCCGAGAAGCACAAAGCATCCAAATGATAGTGGACTGTAAGTATCCATCTTTGTAGTCTGTCATTACATAAGTAAGGTATTACAATTCAAGCAAAGTATTCAGAGAAAAGTCAGCGAAATCAGATAGATATTACAGTTAAGAAGAGGATGATAAGAACGTAGACAAATAAATGAAAGTGGTTTACATCTCTATCATTGTGATTAATTTTAAATCATTACACTCACCAGCTAATTCTTAAAATAACTTTGGTTGTCGCACCTTTACAAAATCATCGACTGACTTTCCTTTCTTACGCGAACTGCCTTTGGAGAGCCTATACGATAGAGCACTTAAAATCTTCATATCACTCAACTTCAGCTATCATTTTCTAAAACTGAAGTAGAACAAAGCCAACTATTGCTTCGTAAACTCGCCCTTTGATGAGAACTTAGATATCTCACCTGTCTCATGGTGTAATTCGTGGAATGTCAAACTAATGTTTTGTATCCGTACTGAAATTTGGTTTTAAAAGTATTCCATCAACGGTCATGCTACGACCTTGATAGGGAAAGTTGATATCACATTCAACTACTTTGAGTTTTTTCCTTCATTGTGAATCTGTTCTACAACTGTCTTACATTTAACAAATACTGAGAGTATTCTGAGTCTTTCTGTAAAGGCATTTGAATGACTGAGATTTCTGATCAACATATTCGCATTTTAGAATTATGCCATCTAGGTACCATGGGTCATGGCTGTAATTGTGGGTCATTATCGACATATTTGAAGTATTTTTGCACAACCTTTGTGGATAACCCTGTTTGAAGGAATCCACCGAGGCTCGGACGCACATATTCAAACTAAGCAATATCGTTGTTCCACTAGTCTATAGTTTTCAATCATCCAAATCATTGTCTTATTTTTTCCCCCTTAATTTGTCAGTCTTGTTGTCACACTTCTAAAGTTACCAACTTGTGATTCATACCTATTGCTGACAGAAATATCGCTATGTGTGGTCCACAATGTACTAAAATACGAATTCTGGATACAAATTTTGTCTACATGCTCCTCACCATGGGACATAATTCATATTGATGTGTCTGTTTCACACATGATCCACACTTAGATTGGGCATATCCATTTTGATTTACTTTCGTCCTCTTTTATAGCGCTTCTTTCTCCCTCATGTATATTCATCTGTTTTGTAACATTGAAAGTAGGCTTCTTATTGTTGTTGGTTAGGGTTTTCGTTTATGCCCTCAATTAAAATGCTGCTCGTTTTCATTTGTGGAGCTTTTGAATATTTTCTTTCATCAAACTCGTAATTTGATTCTAAGGTATGGTGGGAGATATAAAAAGCTTCTTTTTGTAATTCCTTGTTTAATAATAACCCAGTCTTACTCAAAGTTAATACTAGATCCCTTATGCTCAGTTGTATGTTTTTTCTGCTTCAGACCCGGAAAATTAAAGGTACATCACTATCATATTCATAGGACAGAATCATCAAGTTTAAATGGACATGTGAACGGAGGTGGTGCCGGTAGTGGTGGCAACAGCGGTGTAAATACTGCTGCAGGTACTACTACTTCTAGTGTTAGTGTCAATCTGAATGGTTCAGCTGGAACGGGCTTGAACAATCCTAAGGTGGGATCAGTTGCCAATGGAGAAGCTCAATATTATCTATCCGAAAAGCATGCATTTCCTACAATCAGTGATGTGATACACTATCACAAACACAATTCTGGTGGATTAGTAGTTCGACTCAGATCTCCACCAACAAAGGATCGAGAAAGTCCTGTTACCGCTGGAATGGGTTTAGATGAGTTTGAACTTGACCCAGCTGAACTTCATTTGGAAAGGGAACCAATTGGAAAAGGACAATTTGGAGTGAGTTATTTTTCCTTGAAAAATAAATACATAATTGTTGGATAATATTCATAGACTGTGTCGTCTCTGGAATAATTTCATGAGATCGTAAAGGGCAGTTGTTTTGCATAGCTCATTCACATTATTATTTGTCTAGATTCTTTTGTTACTTGCGCAAAGTGAATAAACTAGGCTTCTTTTCTAGTTTACTGTGATACCCACCTTCCTCTTGTAAATAAAAGCATCTACTTGTTGAGTTGAATTGCTTCCAACGTCTATCATGAACGTAATTAATCAATAAGTGTTATTGAATTCACAAACCGTCTAATGAATGTTACTTTTTCTCATGATAAGTAGAAAAGCATCATTCTTGTTTGTCTTCATGTAAACGAAAATGGTTGGTCGCTAGGCAATTCAGTATTCTTTGGATTAAGCATGAAGTAACTTGTCAAGAAGAAGGTCCACCCGTGGTAATGCCATTATTTATCATCCCCATTTTTTTCTAGAAAACTCACCATTGAATTATGACTTGGTCTCAAGGTTATTAGTTTCATTGTATTCATATGAAAAATAGGTGGTTTTGTGAATCAGCTACCTATGAAAAGTTAGGTAGTGTTTTCTGTCGAGATTGAGTTTTAAGAGGCGTCGAATAAATTAAAGTTGTAGTTATTAATCTAATATCTTATCAGTTGAAAAACTTTACTGATCGATTGTAAATTATTTTCTCACATTCTCTTTATCAAATCAGGTGGTTAAACGTGGTAAATTCCGTAACATTCCTGTAGCCGTTAAGCAAATGGTTGAAGGTGCTATGAATGAGGATGATTTCATTGAAGAAGCCAAAAATATGCGGTAATTACTTTTTGTCTGAACTATATGTGAATATATGCGTCGAAGTAAATTTGTTTTTCATCATGTATATTTTATGTAAACCATTTCTTCAATCAACAGCATTACTATAACATCTTAATAAGAAAAAAAATGCATTCATTTATGCGATGGTTATACTAATCGAACATTTTACTACTAAGGATGAGTCGATCGTGTCTTGCAGCTTCAAATTACCGAAATAGTTTTCGGGGTAGCCTTTAAATAATTTTTTTTAAAATCTATATTAAATAAGTTGTCCAGTTTTTGATTCACCAGTGCTAACTATATCAAATGGAAATCTGTTTACTGAAATCAACTAAATAAGTGTTGTATTTACGCCATCGTTCTTCAATATTTAAGTTTTTAAGCTAAAATACACAAGGTAAAACAAAATAGTCAAAATATACCGTTGTTTTATTCTCTATGAACATAGTTACCGAAAATTTTTATATAGCTCCAATCGCAAATACGGCTTCTTATGAAGATTTTGTCACTCTCTCTACACTGCGACACCTTCCTCTTGAAATAGAGATTGATAATACAATAATTTATTTTGATTGACTAGTAACGTTGAACTGGCTCGTGATCAATTATTCCTAAATACTCTTCTGATGAATCTGTGCTGTGTCATAACCTGAAGTAAGTGGATCGCAGTTGGAAATGAGCGGAATAAATTGCTGGCACTTTGGAAAAGGGTATTTGATGAACCTTCTCCTGCCTGCTTAACAAATAGACTGATAAGTATTCTCAAAAACATTTTGTATATTGCATGGCATTGAATTCGCATAACTGCTTTAAGTTCATCCCAACCATTTGTGTGAATTTAAGCGTTGCTATGGGACTTTGAAATGGTCACACAAATTCGCCAACCTCAATGAACCAAATTCACTTAGGTTTTTTGAGCAGGCAGTACTGTCATATTGTTTTGGTTTTGTATGCCAGCAACCCTCAGTTTTCTAGATAACAGCTTGAGATCTTGTATCTAGTTTGAGCCAGAGTGGTCTAGGTATAGTTGGTCGGAATGATAAGATACTCCGCTATGCGATGAATCTCCATAGTCAACACAGTATACTACGTCGATGGCTTGCTCCTGACCGCCTAATGCGCTGTGAGCGGCCTGTGAACTTGTGTGGATTTGGAGGTTTCCAGTTGCTTGCTGGCTAGTGGTTTTCATCAACATGGTCTGACTGAATGCCTGCATCATTTAATGTTTCGTGGTGGGTAGTGGAGTGGTTAACATAATTCTCACCTATCGACGTAACATGATTCATATTATCAGGCTTCTTGAACCCATTTTCAGCTTCACTATGTCTGTCACTAAAGTATTTACGAAAAGTCACTTTCAAAATCTGAGGGCTTATGGATGTGGATTCCACCTAGATGCCATCCAGCATTTGCTCGAATTTCTCAATAATTCTCAGTGATGCGGCTTACGTTCCTTCCCTATAGCGTTCCAAAAAAGCTTAAAATTCCTCATTAGAGAGAGTCGCCACTTTTGTATGTCTTTACTAGTGACTTGATATAGCCTTCAGTTATATATGAGGACGCTTATAAAAACACCTTCAAATTCCACCTCTTGCTGGTCACTCAGTTTCTCCGTAAATAGAAAAGGTGGTAATAAAGCAGAAGCTGTAGTTACAAGGTCAACAATACATACAAGGCTTATATATATATATATATATATATATATATATATATATATATATAACAGTAGCCTTGGCTATTTCCAGGCCTATTAGATTTAAATTCTATTGATTTTTCACCTCTTCAACCAACCTGATACTTACACATTGGTTCGCATGGTTTTTTTTCCGAAACTTCGGAGCAAAGCGATTGGTTGAATAAAGTTTTAGGCAAATGAGGCTTCTTATGAAGATTTTGTCAATTTTTCTCCACACCATAACAAAACAATGGATACCAGTATTTTTATTATCTTCATCATTCAGTACATTTGTCAATGTTGCAGATTTTTCATGAGTAGAAACATAAACTCGATATCAAAAATAAAATGAACTTACAATGAACTCTAATATAAAATGGTGAAACAATAAAACTCGAAGTAAAAATCACGTAAACGAAGCAACAGCTAGATAATATGTAAATGACAGTACAAGTCTTCTTCATTAATATCCATTTCCTTGTTTTACTGTCATCTACTGCATATGGAGTTAGCCACCATCAACGTGGGACCTGGCATTACTGCGTAGCTGTCCAAGTTACTGTACCTTCTATCATCACATAAAGCAAAAGTGTAGTACGATGAAAGATAAAGAAGAAAGTAATCAATAGTGGTAGAAAGTCACCAAAAGAGAGCAAGAACAAATGAAGCAACGTTGAAATTAAGTATTAAGATGAAGAAAATGTGTGGATACTTCTGCACATTTGAACTATATAACCTAGAATCCCCAAACACTGGTTTCTTTTGTACCGCAGATCCCAACCAGGAAGTCTACTTTCCCTACACGATTCAGACCAAAAACCAAAGGTTTCATGTGCTTATACCACGTTTAATCTGACTACCTCTAACTGTTTTCCATCTTGAACCTAAATCAAACTAAAATTGTGCCACGTAGCAAACGGTGATTAGTCATATGTAACACATACTCAGCTTACTAAGCCCATTAAGATTCATAAGGTCATCAACTGACTTCCCTCTTCCACCTAAAACTCTACACCTGATTTCCACATTACTAACGGGGCAACATACTATACGCCGTCTATACCACAAAGGTGATTGCAGTCGAATGCCTGAAAACATCTCATTTCCTCTACATTTAATGGCCATGTTTCATAGCCACATAGTGAAACAGAGCGAACTGCAGCACAGTACACTCGACCCCTAATAGAAAATCGCAAATCAAGGCAATTCCTCAAATAGTCCTAGTTGGTTAGAACCAGTCGATCCTTTTGTATTCCTCCAGAGACTTCGTCGATCACTGATATACCTTACCTAATCCGCTTCCCAAGTTAGTCACGTAGTCAGTGCATCCAACCACTTCACTTCCTATCATTAGACGAAGCACATGTGGAGACCAATCGTAGAGTAATAATTCCCATATGATTGGTAAAAACGCATCCCAAGCAATTTCTAACTGTCACCAAATGTATCTTTTAACCTCTGCATCTTGTGAGAATCTTCACCCAACAACAATCTGTCATTTCCCTACTGTAGGTCTGTAAAAGAGTCTGATGTAATGCCATGTATGCGTGTAGATAGACGACGATAGAAAGATATGCATAGAAGCATCTGCAGCAAAGTTAACTAAGAGTAATGGAACTGGACATCTCTCACAGACACTACTCGAAGTAAGCAACTCAGTGAATATCAGGGTGAATACTGTGACATGACGGCATGTGGTCGGATACCGGACCTTCAGCGTGATAATGCATTGACGCAACAACCTTGTCAGTGAGACGAAATGCCATTAGACCTCTCAGTCATCAGATTCTAATGCCTTGTTCAGGTGAATAACAGCAGCTAGTGTTTGGTACCACCGGTAACTACATCTGTGTTCTGGGATTCAGTGGACGGTGAAAATGTGGTCGATACACTGATGACCAGATCTGAAGCTTCCTTTTGTTTCCTTGGATTTGCTAGAAGATTTGGATTTCGCCGATGATGATTTATGTTTAATGTTGCACAAACTCGAAGATCTACTGACATAAAACCAACTACTTGGCAGCGAAGAGGGGACTTTAGGTGAACGTAGAGTGAAGACAAAGGTGATGAAGATACACAACGAACAACAGCATCAACAACAAGAGGCAGCAATCACCATGAACGGGAGAAATCTAAAGGAAGTTGTCTCTTTCACCTACCTTGGCAAGGCAGCATGGTTTCAACTACATTGAGCACAGATGAGGATATCAAAGCCAGAATCGGAAAGACAGCAAGGGAGGCCTTCGTTCATCAATGTGAAATCAGTGTGTAGATCTACTGCACTCCACCCAGCATAAGGCGTGAACAAGATCCGAATTTTCAAGACTGATTGAGTCAAGTAAGCCAGTGCTTGTATGTGATGGTGGTTGAGAGACTTTGGGCATTACGAAAAGCATTTCCAACAAACTACAGACATTGATGAACAGCTGCCGCCTACGCTCACTCGATACTGAAGATCAGATCAGAAGGCCAGAAAGAATGAGCAACATTGAACTCTTGCTGGCAACGAACCAGCGAAGCAAGAACCTGTCGCCCAACAAATGTGTAGAAGGAAGTGGAGATGTATTGTATTGGACATGGACATGGACTGAGAAGACCATTTGGGGCCATGATGCTTCAGGCCAGACCGTCGAGTGGAACGGAAATGAGAAACGACGATTTGTGTGTTGGAGGCGAGAGTGATCGGAGGAGGAGATGGTGTGAGATAGAAATGAAAGCTTGTTGGCAGTGGTGGGTCCAGGTTGGAAAGAGTGCAGAGAAGAGAGTGAAATGGTGACGTTGTAGTGAAGCCCTGTGTTCTACTTAGAACCCATGGGACAAATAGTAGTATCATAATTATTTATACAGAAGGTTGATAATGATCTAATGGGACTTGAGTGCTGACAGAGTTGTGGAGTGGGTTGGCAATTTCTTGCTTTTCACACCATGGAGCCTTGGTGCTACTTGACTTAGTTTAAAAGGGAGTTGTATAAGTAGTGGTGGTGCATGACCACGAAGTCCAAATGATGTTTGTTTGAAGCCGGTTTCAAATGGAAGTTTGGCTTTGATTGATTTAAATTCAGTAGATAAACCCGTACCCACTGGGATATCAGAGATCAGGGAGAACATGGCTTTATCAGTCCAAGGTTTTTTAGCTCCCGCCTTATATTGGAAAATCAGCACCAACATGGACTGCTAGTAACTTCAGTGGAACACCCTATTGTTGTTGCACCCCTGTTCAGCCAGCAGCCTAGCTTCACGCTTGAATCCATTTCAAAATGTAGCAACATACACCATAACGATAACTTCTGTTTGTCTTACCACTTACCAGGGGACCCTCCTGGTATGATGGGATCTCAAGGGTCAAGCGTTTCCACTAGCATTGCTCATTAAGTCGTTGTGATATGCGGGCCCAACCACTATTTCAGTGTAGTAGCTTTTGGTTGGGAGTTCATTTAAAGTATGCCTATTTCGTCTTCTTTGTTTACTCTAAAAGATAGTAAGCCAACATACGATGTGAATCAAAACACTTCTGTTCGACATCACTTCGTAGATTCTTTTCTGGTTTAGTTGTCATGTTTATCTTCTTGTTACATGTCTTCACTATTCGAATTGTTTTCATTACGATGTATGAACTTCCAGTAGTACGTATTCTCAGCGTATTTCTTGTATATCTACCGTGTACATCAATTCTTGTATTTCTAGTAGTAAATGAAATGTTTTCTTAAAACGTAAAACATCTTAGTTTTTTGATTACCTGAAATTCGTTTCTCTAATTTCGTATGCTTAAACAGTGCCACTGTCTTTTTGACTCTTTTCCTAAACAAATTTGTGCTTTCGTTACCATTCTCCAGATAGTTATTCCGTTTTAGTAAATTTCATATGACCTTTCTATGTCGTTAGTGTAATTAATATCTATAAGAAGTTTCTCTATTGGGGTGAGAATCAGTTCATTATAAATACACTTATAATGAGTGATTACACACAATGTTAAGCTACTTAATTTTAATGATATTTTGACCAAAACTACTGCCAGTGATTACACCAATTTCGGGGATTATATATTTCTCCATTAATTATGTCCCAAAGCCAAACCAGCAACTATCAGTTACATTCATGTGAGTTACTAAGGTATAGACAAAATATCTAATGAGTTATGTGTTCGGTGTTATACCTTTGTAGTCAACAATATATGAAACAAACCATTTTCAATATGTGATTGCTTCATGAAACAAAAAAAGCTGAGCTTTCTTACTTAAACTTGAATATCAGAATGAATTAACGTATGCTTTATCAGCATTTTAACTGCCTAATACTTAAATCAAGTCATTGAATAAACTTCTGCAAAAGTTAATTCTTTCTAAAAAATAGTCGGGAAATTTCATGTTTACCATCGATATCTAGCCCTATCAAGTGATTTTAAGCAAAAAAAAATTTTTGAACTTAAAAAGGTGGGGATGAGATTTATTGCTTAACCTTATCGATCAGAAACTTTGTTACAACTCAATACATCAACGGTGATGAAAAACCGTTATACGACTACAGCTAAAATTTTACCAGTTAAAGTTCATCGAAGTTTATACACCTAATTTTTTTCAAGCAAAGCTAAAATTCTTACCTAAGGCAGTTATACAAAAAAACTTAAGCAGATGTGTTGAAAATGATAACTGTAAAACATTTTGCTCAATCAAACTTAGTGGGAATATAGACCATTGGATTCTGACCCAGTGGTTCAATGGTAACGTGCTGGCCACGGAACCTGAAGGACGTGGGTTCGACCCCTGGCGGGGTCGTGGGTGCGGAGGAGTCCCATACTAGGACGAAACAGCTGTCTAGTGCTCTCAGGTTTCCTTTGTTCCTCCAACTGATATCAGTCTACGATGAATAACAACTTGAAATATTTCCGAATCCCCATAACTCCCTCAAAATTTAGTTGCCATGTGTCTTTCAAGTGATTAATCTGAACAATCAGCGTATAAAACAGAGACCGAATTGAGCAATCAAATCTCCTAGGCATTGTTATTCAATGTAAAAGACCCTAATTCGATCTCCTGTATAACTATCAACCTATCGTGACTATTCTTGTTCTCATTCTTGATCTTTTTCAGTTTATCTACAAATCTCTCTCTAGAATTATGCAACATATTTTAATAAACTCAACCAATTCATTTTCCAATGCGATTAAGTGATAGTAAACTTCAACAGAGATAATTCGCACACAAACAGTTTTGTTGTGTTGTCAATAAGCCTTAAAAAGCATGTTTCGTTTGATGTTGTCCACATCTTGTTTTTGTTCAAAGATGCTACTTCCTGAAACATTCTTTCTTCCTTTCGTTTATTCCCTATTATTATTAGCATATATAGCATACATACATTGTGTGACTGATTTATGTAGATTTCTGTTCTCCCCACTAGAAATAACAATAAACTCATGTGAGATTCTCATGTTCAGTAGCTCTATAAAAAATAAATGTTTCCCGAGTTTAATGTGTTTCTCTCTTCTCATTATTATTACTATGCTTAGTTGTGGCTAGCAGAGGGATCCAGGCCGCAAATTTCGTCCTATTTGGGGCCCGTCAACTGGATGTACCTGCACTCCACTGAGTGATGTTGTTCCCACTGCGACTCGGACCTCGTACCCACCACTTCAAACGCCAAGGTATTATCCACTAGGCTGCTGAGGCACGGTAGCCACCTCTTGTACAACGAGTGTTAGTTATTACTATTTGTTGATATGCTTGTAATTCTTCATTGTTTTACTGGGTCGAATTGTTCGACTCCCATGTGTCAATAGAGGTCAAACAATTGGAACCAGTTGTACAAGAGATGGCTTAGTGGATAACGCCTTGGCGTCTGAAGTGATGGGTACGAGGTTCGAATTTCAGTAGGGACAACACCACGCTGCACTGGGGTGCAAGTACATCCAACTGACGAGGCCTAAATAGGACAGAACGCGCGTTGCGGATTCCTCTGCTAGCAACAACCAAGTGAATCATCATAATTAGTATTCAGGAAATGTCGAGGCATCCATATAGGAGCCCACATGCCAATAGAGGTCGAACAATTCAATATAGCATAACAGCGGAGAATTTCAAGCACGTCAACAAATAGTTATTATTATCATTATCATTGTTATTATATCATTATATTACTATCATCTTACTATTATTACCACTATTATCAGTACCGATAGTAATCCTGCATACTATCAACCAAGTCATGCACTCAGAAGCCCGTAAGGCGTAATGCATACGTTACATGTTATTCTCTTTTTTGCTTGTAGATTCCTCAATCATCCGAATCTTGTACAGTTATTTGGTGTTGTATTGAAAAAGCGTCCAATTATGATTATTACTGAATACATGAAACATGGTAAGTGACTTTCTCTTTCTTTACGGAATTTGATACTCATATATTGTATTACTTTTTGACTTCTTAGTAATCTAAAACTATTCATTCCACTAGTCAATGACACTCGAGCATTATGGGCAAAAGAATCTTACTACAGTTTGAGGAAATGAAATCAGCTGCTGACATGAGACAACATGGGCTAGTAAGAGATGCAGGTATATATGTTAAGCGGCCAATAGATTGCCTAATCAAATAAGAAGATTTAATTAAAATTGAGTCACTAGGAGGGAGGAAGAAAAGTTGATAGCTGCTTTTTTGAACACAAACTTGGTTCTAAATGTTTAATACTTATGCGACGTCAAAAAATATCGACTATTTTCACTGTTCATGATTGCCTTAATTACGTTGCAAGCAGCAGACTAGTCAGCCACATGATAAAATGATATCATATTATTCCGTTCCAATCGTTCTTTGTTCCTCTATTCATGTTCATAAATGAAAATAACTGTGACTATAATATAATACTTCCATAACTTTCGGAATTAATTAGCATGACTACTTTTCCATCGCATAAAAATGAGTTCTGCGGGCTGAGAGAAATATCAAGCTCAACTATGTACTGGGTATGTATTTAAATAACGTTGCACCAATATTTGACAATTTCCTCATTGTGGTCAACTGGACTGGATCATGCGGCAAACCGTGAGGAGCGATAAGACGGGCATACGCTGTTTGACCGATGGAAAAACCCTAAAAGATTTGGATTTCGCCGATCATTTGTGTCTGATACCGCACAAACTGGAAGATCTACAGACAAAGACCAACAAGTTGACAGAAGAGGCAGGGCGGCGAAGACGGGATTTCAAGTGAACATAGAGAGAAGACAGAGGTGATGAAGATACACAACGAACAAAAGCATCAATCAATATCAACATAGGACCAGCATCAACAACAAGAGGCAGCAATCACCATGAACGGGAGAAATCTAAAGGAAGTTGTCTCTTTCACCTACCTTGGCAAGGCAGCATGGTTTCAACTACATTGAGCACAGATGAGGATATCAAAGCCAGAATCGGAAAGACAGCAAGGGAGGCCTTCGTTCATCAATGTGAAATCAGTGTGTAGATCTACTGCACTCCACCCAGCATAAGGCGTGAACAAGATCCGAATTTTCAAGACTGATTGAGTCAAGTAAGCCAGTGCTTGTATGTGATGGTGGTTGAGAGACTTTGGGCATTACGAAAAGCATTTCCAACAAACTACAGACATTGATGAACAGCTGCCGCCTACGCTCACTCGATACTGAAGATCAGATCAGAAGGCCAGAAAGAATGAGCAACATTGAACTCTTGCTGGCAACGAACCAGCGAAGCAAGAACCTGTCGCCCAACAAATGTGTAGAAGGAAGTGGAGATGTATTGTATTGGACATGGACATGGACTGAGAAGACCATTTGGGGCCATGATGCTTCAGGCCAGACCGTCGAGTGGAACGGAAATGAGAAACGACGATTTGTGTGTTGGAGGCGAGAGTGATCGGAGGAGGAGATGGTGTGAGATAGAAATGAAAGCTTGTTGGCAGTGGTGGGTCCAGGTTGGAAAGAGTGCAGAGAAGAGAGTGAAATGGTGACGTTGTAGTGAAGCCCTGTGTTCTACTTAGAACCCAAGGGACAAATAATAATAACAATATTTGACAGTACGGTGAAGACCACTTGTAGTGCATACTGTAAATTTTCTAAATTTTTTACATCGGACCGGTGTTTTATATCTTAGAAAAACTGTATTTGATCTTCCTCAGACAAAAATCTCAGTCATTCCATTGCTTTACAACCCAAAATAACTTGTTTACAGTATTCATCTGTTAGATTAACGTGGTACTTTGCCTTGGTAGCACTAAAATTTTGTTTTTACGTCAAGATTAATGTTAATAGAGATATGTGACTTCCGAAAATTCCTTAAAAAGAATCTTGACAAACATACACTGTCATATATTAAACTCCAATGTCCTGAACTATCTTAAGCACCACTTCTTTTCACAAAACTGAGGAAGCGCGCGCTTCACTCTGCAGCAGATGTTAAGTACATATTAGTGTCGCTATAGTTTACATCTAGATATATCAATAGTAATTCCTTTTTGCGCGAAAGGTGGATTCCAGTACGGAGGTTTTGGCCTAATACGAATAACGAAACACATTAACCGATTAGTTGCAGCCTACGTCTTCAGGATTGTAGTAAAATAGGTTCAATTGATTGACAAAGTAGTACTTAAGCTTCTCTCAGACACTTCAGTTCGGTGGACAAATTATGTTCAGCATCTTCTGTGGTTCCTCAGCTCGTTAGGAACGTTTACTGACTTTTTAGCCGAGAATTCAAACATGAAGTTGATATCACAGTTAAATATTTTTGGAAAGCACTTTCCGTTAATCGCTACTCTTTTGTAGGATATACTTAAACTTCGGACACATTTCATTCCAAGGTTTGCTCCAATAAAAACTATATAAATGATAGGTGGCATTTTCAGTTTTCAGAATCCTGAGTCAACTCAACCATTACTTGCTCGGTATCAAGGTGTGGACTTTAAAGACAGTAAGCATCATTGGGTTCAGGATAGTTGTGTCATATTTGCACTAGAGGATAGCCTTATTCAACCAAAACTAAAAGTCGAACGTTCTTAAAGTTAATATATAGATTCAAGTAACTGTAGGTAATTTTGTGGTGTGACACATTTGATACCTCAGTGTGAGCTGTAATAAAATGGCATATATTCGAATACAGAGCCTTCAGCGTGATAATGCATTGACGCAACAACCTTGTCAGTGAGACAAAACGCCATTAGACCTCTCAATCATCAGATTCTAATGCCTTGTTCAGTAGAATAAAAGCAGCTAGCGTTTGGTACCACCGGTAACTACATCTGTGTTCTGGGATTCAGTGGACGGTGAAAATGTGGTCGATACACTGATGACCAGATCTGAAGCTTCCTTGGTTTCCTTGGACTTGCTATTCCCGAAGTTCGTCTAAACATCTAATGATTGTAGAACGTAGGATGTTAGACACTATGTTAGACAGACTGATTCTTCTGTGTCTGTAACAAACGATTAGTTGTGTTACTTGAGGATTTGATCAGTCATTGATTGAGAGTGGTCTGTGGGAATCATATCTGACTTGTTTATGTATATCCTGGTTAACTCTTGAATTAGTGTAAGCAGTAACTGTCGACTACGGTTCCCAAATATGCATTGTGCTAGGACATCTGTCCCTTATGTCGTTCCTCGTTTTGGTTTACTTACAACCTTGTCTATTTGTGTGAGAGTTTTAGATGCAATCTCCGTGTCTCACTCAGTATGCGACTAGATATTGAGTATTGGAATTTATTTGAAGTGCTGTGTCTATTGTTGTAGTTGTTTCTGATATGAGTGAATTGCGTATGCATCTTTCTTCGATATGCTTCTGATGGCCCCGACCGATAGCTGCTACCTTGACGTGGTGGTCGGGCTTGCATATCACAATGACCCAACGAGCTATGCTGGTGGAACGCTTGTTCCCTCGAGGTCCTACCATACCAGAAAGGTCTGTTGGGTAGTGGTTAGACGAAAAGCAGTTACCGTCATAGTGTAAATTGCTACACTATGATGGGGGTCTGAGGGCGAAGTCGTACTGCTGCTAGCTGGATGGGGTGTGACAGCAGTAAGGTGTTTCCCTTGGATGACCAGCAGTGCCAAGCTGATGCTGCCTTCTCAGTGGAAGGGGGGTTAGAAAAGGTCGGCCCCAAAAATAACACACTCCACCACGCCCCACGGTCTGCCGGGCCGGCGGTGTTGGTTCACTTGTCGTTTCCTTTCGCTCATCCGGCCCCAAAAATACAAAAATTCAAAATAATCATACTCAAAAGGCTGGGTGTGACAGGCCTCAAGCAGATGTCCGATGGGCTCTGCGGTCACACAAATCTCTTTCAGGTACCTTAAGAAGAAATAGCCTTCCACGGTGTGGGCAGCCGGGAAGTGTCAACCGCCCTCACAACTCTGTCAGCACCCAAGTTTCTTCTGACTGCTATCCTCCTCCTCCATCATTACCTTCTAATCTTCCTTCACGTCTCTTAATTAATGATGCTGCATCATCTTCAATTTCTCCTACCTCTGCAGCCTTCGACAACGATCTGAGTCCACAGAACAGCGTCCCTGGTCTCCTTAAACCACGCTCCAAATTACATATTGGAGCCTTCAATGTCCGCACCCTCCGTCAAATTGGCCAACAGGCTTCGTTGGCAAAGACTCTAGCAACTCGAGGCATGGATGTGTGCTGTGTTTGTGAGACACGCATACAGGACCCAAGTGTGGTTATTCACCTGACCTCTCCTGACCAATCTGGTGAATCTGCAAAATTCACCCTTCGAGTTTCTGGAGATTCGATAGCTAGCTCTCGTGGTCTTGCAGGTGTAGGTATAGCATTAAGCACCAGGGCAGAAAACTCACTACTAGACTGGATCCCAGTTGATAGTCGCCTCTGCGCTATGAGGCTGAACGGCACAGTGAGAACTAAAAGGAATAGTGAGACTCGCCGTTGTCTCTTTGTAATCTCTGCTTACGCACCCACTGACTGTAGTTCGGATGAAGTGAAGGACGAGTTCTACCATAAACTGTCTAACCTCCTCTCGAAAGCCAAACGTTCGGACGTAGTGGTTGTTGCAGGTGACCTCAACGCACAGGTGGGTAGACTGAGTGAGGCAGAAAGGCACTTAGGTGGCACTTTCGGAATCCCAGCTGAACGTACAGATAACGGTGATCGCCTATTACAACTATGCTCAGATAACCGCCTATTTTTAGCCAGCACAAATTTCAGACATAAAGAAAGGCACTGTCTGACCTGGCGTCCACCGAGCTCGACTCAGCGATGGACACAGATAGACCACATTGCTATTAGTCATCGCTGGAGAGGATCGGTGGAAGACTGCCGCTCCTTCTGGAGTACGTGTTTGGACAGCGATCATGCGTTGGTCCGAGCACGTATATGCCTGCGTCTCAA